AATAAATTTGTAGACATCTCTGTATTTTTTTAACATTGTATTCTCACTGGATTATACAGGGAGGTAATTCTGAGAGAATCAGAAGTCCTACCAGAATTCATTATTGGCAGCCACGATCTTAAAAACATAAGACATGCAGATGACACAGTGTTGATAGATATCTTTGTTTTTTTTTTTTGTTTTTTTTAAATATATGCATTTGATACCGATTTGAATGTCTTAATGATAAAAAGGTATAATTTGTAATTCGATCTAACATGCTCCTTATATTGTAGACACATCGTTGAATCTATATGCTCTTTAGAAAGCTCAGCCACGGAAGACTAGGTTCAGCCTTTTAGAGAAATGCACATCTCTTATTGTGACTTTATCTTTGTATCCGCTTTAATTTTCCATGAAAGTCAATCTACAACATAAGTAAAATCATCCTGAATACAAAAGGGAACACTGAGCTACTGAGGAGACTTGTTGTCACTTGATTGATACTTATTACTAAAATGATCTCTCAATTAATTTTTCTTTCAATTCAGTCAATTAGAGAAAAATAATTTCAAAAAATAAAATCATATTTACAATTTGAAAGAATGATTTATCAGTTTATAAATTCGCATAAATTACGATTAGCTTTCACTATAAGCGTGATATTTAGGAAAAAACATGTCTAATTGACGTCAACCGGTTAGAGTAATTGAAAGTCTTATGAAAAAAACAATTTAGACTTTTCGACAGGGTTTGAACCTACACGCTCCTCTATTGGGAAACCACTTTTTATTTAAGTGTTCTAGAGAAAGACTTCACAGCAAAGCAATGCTCAATTCCCCCTTTTTTCAAGAAAGAAATATCTGTTCTTGTGATTTGTTCACTTTTTTGTATTCGAAACATAAACAAATTAATAATATATCACATATATCTACACAGCGAACAGAGTGTAAGGACAAACAAAATGGAAGCGTCTTACATATATTATGAAGATACTCCTGTGTCTGGAGAAGCCATGTTTAGCACGCCAGATTCAAACGGGCTAGATTCAGCTATGTCCCAGGCGAGGATATATTTCACGAATGGGAAGCAGCGAATCTTGGGTTTTCCAAATAAATGACAGATAGCTGGGTTTTCTTTCTATATCTATAAAGAGAAACGACACATGACCCACGTGACTTATCGCTACTAAAGGGAGATAAGCACCTTCTCTATCCTTACATATTCATTTAATTGACGCTTAATTAGGCTGATACATTCGTCTTTAATATTAATTTCCTAACAAGCGAATTACTTATAACTCGATCATATATTTGCTGAAATTGATTTAAAAAAATCATATTTAGGAAAGTTGTTTGTAAATATATTTCTTCACATGTGACATCAATTCGTCTGATGTAATCATTGGCAGTGTGTTCAGACTTGCTTTCGTATAATGGTAATAATATCTGTTTCCATAAAGGAAACAATCACTATTCCTTGTCGGTTGAAATATCTGTTTCTCAAAGGCCCTCGGCAAAATCCAGAGGCGGATATGCAATGTAATTGGCCCTGATCTGGTATCTTGTTTACAGTCGCTCTCTCACAGACGTGACTTCGCTTCCCTCCGTCTTTTCTACAAATATTTTCACGGTAACTGCTCCGACGAGTTACTTTCGCTGGTTCTCAAACTGCATAAATTTAAACATTCTGCTAGGATGGTATCTCAGTCCTACCCTTTCAGTGTCGAAACAGTGAAATTTAGCTGTCTCTTCTACTCCAATAGCTTCATATTTCGCACTTCACGTCTGTGGAACTCCCTTCCTCTTACTTGCTTTCCTGATAGCTATAATCTTAGTATATTCAAATGCAATGTAAATCGACATATTCCGGATGTCTTGGTCAATTCCCCGTCTATCTATTCATTCTTTCTTCTATCAAATCATGAAAATTGGTACTCTTGAAGACCTACAGAATTCATTGAAGCCATTTTAAATCATTGAGCCGAGAAAACGATACACTGGGACTATTCGTTATAATTTGTACATTTGTGGCGGGCCGGTGTGTAGCGTTGTGAGAGGAACACGTGTATCTCCTGAAAGCTCCCACAATAAACATGGCGGACTCGGAGATTGAGACAAGTTATAAAGAAATCGGAACAAACAACATGAACTGATACGTACAGAAAAATAATAAGTGAGTCACAAATGAATGTGTAAATTTTGTGTTCTAAAGTTTGTGTGAGTGAATGTGCGTACGTGCGTGCGTGTGTGTGTATGTATTGTTCATGGTGTAGTGTTCACTGAAAAGTGAAAAGAAAAAGAGAGGGGGAGAAAAGATATCGCCAAGTATTTATAGAAACTGGAAAGCGCCCCCAAGTAGCGGTTTGGAAAACTAGGAAACTAGGAGGAGTTAACTGCGATACATTATGCTTTATATTAGAATTTTTAATTCTCTGTTTCAGTCTGCTATATGAATTTTTTGTATCTCTACTTCAACCTCACAGAAATGTGTGGTTCCTTTATACATATAAATGATTTTAAAATTGTTTGTGAAGAAATAAGAGCATAATTATTGATTAACACATTTAAAGATTTATATAGAGGCTATTCGAGATGGAGATGAGAATAAAGAAATTCGCAGTGCTATTGATGCAAGAGAACATACAGAATTCAATCAGTAGTCAACAAAACATTCATAGCTGTAAAAGACAGGTACACATCCATTGGTGTAGTCGAATAGGATTCTATACGGCAGGAAGAATCCAAGTAAGAAATTACAAAGGTTCATCTTTAGCGAATAAGAAAAATATTAAAAGCATGGCTAAAGAATACACATTATATTTTAAAATCCTATCAATATTGAAATACACAAGGGCCTTTCCAGACTAGACTCTAATTTTTCAAACTTTTTTTTATACCTACGTGTAATAAATGAAAGACAAACTCTGTTCACTAGGTTCAAGGTTCACTTAGCATCGACAATTTATATATATATATATATATATATATATATATATATATATATATATATATATATATATATATATATATTTCTTATGATCCAAACATATGGAATTGCATGTACCTATTTGTATTATATATTTGGAGGAATATAAAATTATTGCTTTTAGAAAAAAACATTTAAAGGAAATTCCAACACACAGATACAAAGTTAAAAAAAAAAAAAACCCCAAAAACTAGCCCGTTCTAAAATTTCGCCGTAACAACAGCCAACTCAAAGAAAATTCCAAGCCATCAAATGAACACAGCACATCACATAAAGAATGTACTGGTACTCGACTTCGACATTGAGTCAGGAAATTCACTTTTAGCCCTGACTTCAGATGCAACTGAATCATTCAACAATCATAACGGCTTTCACTGGCCACGAAGACGAACGCACTACACCCCTTCATAGCTAAATTTTGGCATAAGGTCTCTTTGTGTGAGAGAACTGACGTTAGTCAGTCAGCAACGAGTTTGACGAAGAAGATACATAAACTAAATAAACAAAATATATATATATATATATATATATATATATATATATATATATATATATATATATATATAATTATTTTAATATATTTTTTGTTTATACGTTAATTCTATAGTTCTATAGATACAAATATTTAAGTAAATGTTCCGTTTATAATAAACAGTATTAACAAACAACATTTACCGGTCTGAATATGCGAGAAATCTCATAGAAAGTGTGTCCTCCTACAAGAATCGAACCTGTATCCTACGCGGAACCGTCATATAGCCTGATGTGCTATATCATTTAGCTACAGAGGGAGCGTCTGCTTAGCAAGTTTAAATTACTGTTTTATATATATCATTAAATGAATTAAGTTCGACAAATTCAATCAGTAGTCAAGAAAACATTCATAACATCATTTAACGGTCTGAATGTCCGAGAAATCTTGAAGAAAATATGTGTCCTCCGACAGGAATCGAACCTGTATCCCACACACAATCCAGATTTGATATACCAGATTTGATATACCATTTAGCTTCAGAAATTTAACCTGGCTAACCTGGCGCTTCCTATGTAGCTAAATAGTATAGCACGTCACGTCATATGACGGTTCCGTGTAAGGCTACAGGTTCGATTCCTGTCGGAGGACACGTATTTTCTTTGAGATTTCTTGTTATTCAGGCCGTTAAACGTTGTTAATACTGTTTATTATAAAAAGAGCATTTATTTGTTTGTAGCTATATATATAGATAACGTATAAATAAAAGTATATTGAAATAATTGTCGGACTTAGCCCATTTCATTATGCTTTTTTATTTTATTATATATATATGTATTTATGAATAAAAATGACAATAGGAAAACTGGTAATTGCTGACGCGTTTCGTCCAATGTGGACTTTATCAAAGCAAAATACGGTTAAATCAGAGAAATTTTCATATATATGTATATATTGACTTCCACCAAAAAGAAAGAAGATATGTCATTAAAAAAAAAGAAGTTTAATTTCTGTACGATAAAGCTTTTACATCATTGGCTTCCATTTTCATTTCTTGCTTAACGTTTTCTGTTTTTATTCTTTGTTTGAATCTTAACTGATTAAATCTTTCTTTTTAGGTTATCGTTTTTGCTTTGATGTATTCTTTATTGAAACAAAATGCCTTCTCATAAAACATAGATTCGCTTTAGGAAAAAAAACAAACTATATTTCCCGATTTATTAAGTTGGAGAAAAATCGAAATTTATAATAAGAAAAGGAGAAGTAAAAATCACCCTTTTGCATGAGTGAAATTATTGGGGATGAAGTTGTTGGGATGGCAGTGAATACCGACATCTCAGTAAAAATATTCGAACGTTAGTTGGGTCCCTTGATAGCGCCGTTGTGACTGACAGGTCGGCATGCTGACGAATTGGGACTCTTTGCGTCATGCTTGGCTTGGCTAATGCGTTGTTTTCAAAATTCGAATTCCTATTAACAGTTAACGAAGGTTTCTGCAGTTCCGAAACACTGGTCGGGCCGAGCACTGACCTTCCTGTTTCCTGCATTTAAGATCTTTCTTCTAAAAATTGGCTTCATCGTTACGAAATCTCTTCACCCACAGGGAGATATAGAGATAATTATTTTTACAGAGAGAGAGAGAGAGAGAGAGAGAGAGAGAGAGAGAGAGAGAGGGGTGAGAGAGAAAGAAATCTTTTTTACAAAAAAGATAAATAGAAATGTTTTTCACTAAGAGAAGAAGAGAGGTTGATTTCAATCAGAGAGAAATAGAGAGGGAGAGACAGATAGACAAAGACAGAAAGAGAGAGACAGACAGACAGACAGAGGGAGGGAAAGACTTTACCCCTAAAGAGAGAATGAGCCACACAGGGAATGAAATGAAAAAATAGAAAGAGATAATTCTTTTCACCCAGAGAGAGTGAGATAGTGTGAGGGAGAGAAGAGAGAGATAGAGAGACAGAGAAAGGGAGATAGATAGATAGATAGATAGGGTGAGAAAGAAAGGGAGAGCGAATTTACCCAGTGACAATGAATAAAGAAGTCTTTTCATTCAGAGAGAGAGAGAGAGAGAGAGAGAGAGAGAGAGAGAGAGAGAGAGAGAGAAATTATTTCCACGCGGTGCGAGAGAGAAGCAGAATCACATAGAGAGAAGTTTTTGCAACCAAAGTGGGTCAGAGGAAGAAAGAATTCCTCTCACCTAGAGATAGAGATAGACAGTAAATACATAGGGAGAGGTAGATGAATATATATATATATATATATATATATATATGGCGAGCGAGAGAGAGAGACAGACAAACAGACAGACATAAAGAGAGACAGATAGAAAGGGCATGTTACTCTCCTCTTTAATTTCTTTTTCTTGGATGGGAACAGTTATTTTTTGTCTTCTTTTTCGCGCAATGTTCATTCTTTTCGGCTCATTGTTATTTTTCCTTCTCTTTCGTGTGTAGCCTATTGCCATTTCTTCCCTTATTTTCTACCCTTATTTGCTTCCCATTGTTGTGAAGCTTTTTCTTCTTAAATTCTCCTTCCTTTTACTTCCGCCATCCGATCCCCGATCTCCATTACGAAATTCGCCAATCATTGTGTCAGACACGAAATTAATCGATATTTCAAGCTATTTCAGTTTTATGCTTAACTCGAGTTTTATTCATCCCGTCAAAGATGACGTCATATTTTGTTAAGCCTTTCTTCTTCTTTGAAGTATAGAGAAATTTATTTAGTGAAAAAAAAAGTTTGGATAAAGTAACTATAAACGATTTTTTCTAACCTCTGCCAGCCGCAATGATGGCAAGAGCATTACCTTGAACCATGGCCAGTGAGACACGCTGCAAGAGTCACTCCGTTTCATGAGGCTCGTCCCTTAATTGAGACGCAATCGCATCAATCCTCTGAAGGAACGCCATCGAACGAGGGCCAATAACCCCTGAAGTCTCCACTGCCACAGAAGTAAAAAAATCTATCAGCAAGAGAATATTTCATTACTTTTTTTTTTTTTTTTTATCTCTGCGTTACCGGCCGAAAATGTATCCGCACAGGTCGCAGGGAAAAATGGTAATGCCATCCGGCCGCTTTCCATCACCACGGTCGAGGCCTACGGATTCGATTTGGGAAGTGAACCCAGCTGCATCCAAACCTCTTTTGATGATGTCGTTAATGGCAGCATGCCGTGGAAAGCGGCCGGCACTACGACGACGACAGAAGAGAGGATGCAAACCAAACTCATCGATGGAGGCTTCACATCTGCATCTGTGACGCTCACGACTCCGACACGAGTGCACTCATCATCTAGAAGGGTACCGGTAGATGAAGAGGGCACTGCGTTGAGCCAGGCGCCACAACTCAGTTGTGAAGCAGATAGTAGACAGGCAAGGCGATGCTGATCCAGAGAGAGCCTCAAATTAGTAAAATTGGCCTCGCATTTTATTTTATCCCAACTTTTTTGTTTTGATGTGTCTAGTGGGATAGAAAGTAATTCTTGGATCCAGACGCTGCAATCTTGTTCGAAAGAACTACCCAAGAAACACTGAGACAATCCATTGAGTATCTTGTCAATTCATTCGCGACTGGGCGAAAGTGAAGAAAGATATGCTGGAAGGGCCAAATCTATTCAATTCTTTGAAGTATTTCATATGTCTGTTTTTAAATATATTTCCCAATTATTATGTTAGTATGTAGTAATTCCCGGGTGACATAATAACAATTGAAAACCGATCCCCCAATTTATATCCAGTTTAATCTTACATTAATACGCGTTTAACTGTCTTAAAAATGATGTCATAATTTCTATTATTAGGTTTTCAAGTAGAAAATCTTGAAAGATATTTTCAGAATTATTTTCTTTCTTTTTTCTGTTTCCAATCTTTCTTTCTTTCTTTCTCTCTATTTAACCTTTAAAATTTTAGTTTACCTTCCTTTTCGTTTAAGTATTTCTTTCTTTCTTTCTTTTTCATTTCTTTCTTTTTTTCTTTCTTTCTTTCTAATTCAATTTGAATATTCCCTTTTTCCTTTAAATCGTTTTTTTTACTTTCTGCTTCTATTCTTTTGTTTCTGTTGAAATTAACCCTTCCTTACATTTCCCATTAACTCATTCATTTACTCTTTCTTTCTTTCTTTCTTTCTTTCTTTCTTTCTTTCTTTCTTTCTTTCTAGTTTAGCTTGAATTTTCCTGATTTCCTTCCTTTCTTTCTTTTTTTCTTGCAGTTTAACTTGAATTTTTTACACATTAAATAAAAATAATTTTTGTACGGAAAGTAAGGACCTACGTACATCAAACTGTCTTTAAATTAAAATGGCGGCAGAACAATTATCGTTAAACTTTTAAACGTAAAGCTTAAATATAAATACAATACTTAAATACCGCGATCAATTTTGAGTTCTTCTGTAGTTTATTGTTACCTATCGCATACGGCAGCAGTAAAAAAAGAAATCTCCGCCAACAGAGGATCAGATTGCAATCAAAAGAACAAAACCAAGACTGCAGCGAGGAAAAGAAAGTTCCGTATAAATGAAAACCAAGATCAAACGGCAACTAGGAGAGCTTCCAATGCTGAGAATATGCAAAGACTTAGGGACTCTCAAACTTCTGAACAAACTGAAAACTCAGTCAAGAGCTCTCCGTGGGAGCTAGCTTAAATTCCGCCCGATAGTGCGACCTTTAGGTATTTAATATATTGCTTAGCTTTTTGGAAGGCATCTTTTGCTATTGCAATGCTTCATCGGTTGTCTCTAAAATAAAAATGAACACTTTTTATGCCTTGAAAAGTTGTTTTCCTTCAATATGCTTAGTGGTAAAAATGTCATATTTTCATTAAATTCTTGTAATACAAGGTTGATCAAACAATTCTGACGCACTTAGGAAGCGGAAAAAATCAACAAATCTTGATCTCTGTCTGATGGAATTTCCAAGGAGTACTGCATTTCGAGCTTCTTCCACACGATCGCTCCATCAACGCTAAAGTGTATTGCTAGCAGCTAGACCACGTGTACGACAAACTAAAGGAGTATCCCGCTTTGGTCAATTGAGGTCGGGCTTTGTTTCGGCAAGACAATGTGAAGCTACACACTGCCAGGTTAAATAAGAAGTTCAAACAGATAGATGGTGTTGGGATTCTTCCACATCCATCATTCAGTCTATGGCTTATTCCGCTCGATGGCACACTTCATCCACGACCAGAGACGTGAAGGAAGCTTGTTTACAGTTTCTTTTATTCAAAGTCAGCGAACTGGTATCTGGAACAGATTCGGATGCTATCTGATTCTCTGACAGAAGATCGTCGAAAATAATGGACTTTATTTTGAATAATAAATGTTGGTATTGTTCCCTAAAATTTCGTTGTTCTCTTTCTGCTTCCTAAGTGAGTCAAGATTTTCTAGCCAGCCTAATAAAGTGAAATAAAATAGATCTCAATTTAATCTTTCAAATGGAAATAGACTTTTGCACCATCCCGTATAATATTAGGAAAAACAATCCCGCATTTCTGTTTCATAATAATGCTTTTCTTTTTTTCCATTCTGGATTAATTTCATTGCCTTTTTCATTTTGCTATCTTTCTTCAATTTTAGTCTCTTTAATATTTCATTTCACCCCGATATCTGATTTTTCTTCATCTCTTTTCTTTCTCCGTTCCTCTGTTATTTTTCTAATTTCTTTTTTTTCTTTTACACTTCAATTATTTTTTATTTTTCCTCTTGTCTCGCTTCTATTTTGCTTTTCAATTTTTTTATTCATTTTTATCTTCCTTTAGTGAGTTTCTTATTTCTATGAATGATGACAATTTATTTATTTTAAAATCTTTTCTTCAAATTTGTTTTCGTTTTATTTCCGCTCATTCCTTTTTCGTCTCTCTCACCATATGCACATTCCATTTTTTAAATGTTATCCGCCATTGTTGTTTTTTCTACTTAAAAAAATATTTTTTTCATCCCTTTAGACAATTCTGAAGGACGCTAGACATTTTTTAATATAGACGTGACGTTTAAAGAAACCGTGTCGACGCCATATGACAAAGTTAAATTCATTCTGTTGGATTATGATGAAATATACAGAAGACAGACATTTTCTTACACACACAAATTATTAGACTATAGCACATATATACGCTTACAGAAATATATTCATGTATACACACAGAAACACAAGGCCTGTATAGACACTTAGATGAATTCATATACATATATAGACAAAATATATTTCGGACGTCAGCTTATCTGAAATATATTTTACGTGTGTACACATGCGTGTGCGCATTTGAAAGTATGTATATATAAGCCTGAATATATATATATATATATATATATATATATATATATATATATATATATATATGCGCCTGGAAGTGTATATATACATATATATATCTATTTTATTTCACTTTATGCATATATACACTTTTACCTTCACCTTTTATTCCCACTTTTATTGATCTGAACGGATATATATGCACTATATGTCCGATTATATATATATATATATATATATATATATATATATATATATATATATTTAATGTATATATATATATATATATATATATTTATATATGTGTATATACACATACATATGCATCTGAAAGTCTTGGTGTGTATATATATATATATATATATATATATATATATATATATATATATATATATTGAAACATATAAATATGAAAAAATATGTACATACTTATATTTCTTTGCATCTGAAATATATACATATATATAAATATATATATATATATATATATATATATATATATATATATATATATATATATGTATGTATATATATGCATATTGAAAGTAAAATTTATTTTATTTTCTCTTTCACTCTATTTTAGTTTCACTTTATTTTATTTTTCTCACTGTTTTGCTTTCAGTTTCTTAGAATTTTACTCTCACCTTTTTGTTTTACTTTATTTACTTTCACTTTCATGTTATTCAAGTTTTACTTTTACTTTCATTTTGTTTTACTTTCCCTTTTAGTTTTTCTTTCACTTTTAGTTTTTCTTTCACTTTTAGTTTTACTTTCAGTTTCTTTAACTCTGTTTAATTTATATTTACATTTCATTTCAGTTTTACATTCATTTTTTCACTTTTACTTTCCCGTTTTTCTATTTACATCCACTTTCATTTTCTTTCACTTTCACTTTTTTTTTCAACTTACTTCCATTTTTCAATTTTTATATTCACCTTTTAATTTTCATTTTCTTTTAATTTCCCTTACGCGTTTTTCAATTTTACTTTTATTGCATCTCAGTTCTACTTTCACTTTTTCACTATAACTTTCAGTTTCACTTTATGTCCGTTATATTTTCACTTTCAGGTTTACATTCATTTTCAGTCTTACTTTCATTTTCATCTTTACTGTCACTTCAAATTTACATTCGCTTTTTGCAATTTTACATTCACTATCTTTTTCTTTCTTTCACATTCTTTCCTTTTCACTTTCACGTCGTATCCTTTTACTTTCTTTCAGAGTTACGTTCACTTTCTTATACTTTTAACTTCCCTTTCTTTTCGTTATATTTAACTTTCACTTTCATTTTCTCCTTCTTTTACTTTAATCTTAATCTTCTTTACTTTCATTTTTACTTTCGCCTTTATTTTCAATTTCGTTTTGTTTAAATTTTATTTGACGTTGATTCTATTTCAGTTTGAGTTTCACTTTCCTTCATTTTCACTTTTACGGTCTCCTTTTCCAATTCTACATTCACTTTCTTTTACTGTCACTTTCACTTTCTTTTATTTTCACTTTCACATTCTTTTGAATTTACTTACACATTTCATTTTCATTTTGTCTCAGTCTTATGCTTTTTTTCGTTTTACCTTCACCTTTTATTCCCACATTCACTTTATTTTTGTTTTACATTCACATTCTTTTTTTCATTGTTTCACTTTCACGTTATTTCAGTTTTATTTTCACGTTTTGAAGTTTTCTTAAGAGAATAGGAAATACAAGACAGCTTATGCATACAATCAGAAAGAGTCAAAATGTATCTCTGGGATTCACAATGAGGAAAGAATGTAAGAAAAATTTAACACTCACAAGGCATACTGAAAGCTAAAGAAGCACCGAAAGCAGTGAGTAAACTACTTAACGAGTTTCTGTAAAAAGATGGCATTACGAGGACAAATAAGCTTGATACAGGGTACAAAATTATCTCGAGTAAGACAGCAGAGGAAATTGTGGAGTGCCATGATCACGACGTGGCATATAAATAAAGAAGAAGCGTCTTGCTTTCGCCATTGACATGAAATGTCGCAGCGAACGAACATATTTACCACAACCGCGTCTCTCGTTCACCTCAACGAGTTGAAATCTGCATTTGACAGATCCTCTTACGGTTGTCCGTATCTGGTTAAGTCCCATAGAGACAAACCCAGATTACGATATTTTCTCTACTAATTTTTGGGCTTGGCTTTTCCTGTTTTCACTGACATTTTTTTTAAACGATTCATTTCAGTTTAATCCCCTTCAGCTGCCCGAATAAAACTCTTTGTAAAAACGCTGATATGTTTATTATGAAGTACGGAATCATTTTGGTAAACATGCACACAGCGAAAAAATGATGCATAAAAGATGAAAATGAGACCAATCGTGTCATGATCAAAGATATACAGAAAACAATTAGATATATGTGTGTGTATTCTAGAACAACTAAAACACAAGTCATTTATTTTTTTAATGTCATTCCCATTCATGTGGTAGAGGATTATGTTAATCCGCTGATTCCTTATTGTGTGAATTGCCATGCCAATTCACACAGAATTGTACAGTGTTTTCATATTGCGTTCAATACGATTTTGAAAATCAGAGCTGTCAGTGTCTTAAAATGACTATTACGAATATGATAAAAGCTCAGTCTACTCCGCTGTTTAACCTATAGCGAGGGGAGAGGGTGGTATCATACATTTTCTAAAGGAATTTATACGAAATAACCAAGTGGGTTAAAGATTTGGTTTGTGAATTTGATAACGGGGAGTGTGTACTTGGACTGAACGGAATCAGGGCGAGGAATAATCGAGCAGTACTAAAAATAAGAACTAGACGAGATATCCCTAGTCATGGAAGATGGAATTACAACTGAGATTAAATAAAAGGTTCAGTTCAGAATTCTATGTCAGTTACTCGAATAGATATACACCTGGTGAAGGCCGAAGGGCACAACGGTCGAAATGTTGTGATAACGGCCTGATGAAGACAATCGTCTGGATGTAAATAGTGTAAATAACACTTTTCTTTTTTCTTTCTTTCTTTCTTTCTTTATCCTTTTTTCTTTCTCCCTTTAGACTTTTCCTTTCTTTCTTTTTCTTTCTTTCTTTCTTTCTTTCTTTCTTTCTTATTTTTTGTCTTTTTTCTTCTCTTTCTCATTACTTTCTTTCACTTCTACTCTGTTTATCTTTTTCTTATTTTCCTTTTCTTTTTCTTCTTTTTTTTTCTTTTTTCCGTTCTCTTTTAACATTTTGCATTTCTCCGTTTCTTAGCGGACAGTTTAAAAATATCCTCTAAAGAAAGTCTCGTTCTATTGAACGATTCATAGCAATATGTCATTTCACACTAAGTAACATTACATTCACTTGCAAATACCTTTGGGAAAGGTATGAATCCTTTTCTCCTCCTCCCAGCTATGGGTAAATAGCAAGACAGACTGTGTTCTGTAGCCTTTGATGGTAACTGGTCTACCGCAGAAAGAAATAGCAACCTACTGCGGGAAAAAAACTGCCTTGTCAGTCATGTATCGAAAGATACATGATCGCTTAATCGTGTATCACGCATAGCACATAATTGATTGAATATAGATGAAGAAAACTCGTAATGCTTAAATATTTTATTTGAGATATTTGAAAAAAATCAACGATATCATTTATTTACTTTTGTTAATGAGACACGGTAAAGATTGCAGAGACGTTCCAACACCAACGCTACAATAACATTTGCGTGATTGAACAATAGTAAATAGCACAAAGCCTGTTATTAGACTGACACAGTGAGTTGGGTACGAAAATGTGATTCAGTTAAGCATACATATTTCCTTTTGAATGCTACAATTACTGCATTAGCAACTTTATGCACTTATTGATACGACCTCGTAAATATATCGATAAATGTTTAAGCGATAAAAATGCGAATCTTTATTCCTTATAAAAGAAGACTTCACGCGAAGGAACTTGTACATTACTTTTTGCAACTGTGCGTTTTCATTTTTTTAGTCCGTCTCTAAAATATATTTCAATAAAAATCCATTCAAAATATCAGCGGAAACGGTGAAATAATGGAGGGGGAAAAAAAGGACGAAAATCGCTACGTGAAATATCAGTAAAAATACATAAATAAAAACCAATAAATGCTTGTATATATATGTGTGTGTGTGTGTGTGTGTGTGTGCTATATGTTTGTGTTTGTGTGCTTGGTGTGTGTGTGTGTGTGTGTGTGTGATATCAAATGCTAAAACGTTTTTGTTTTCATTTAATTGGCAGCAAAAAAAAACTGTCACTTATCTGGTTTGATAAGAACACTGGTTTTCAGGAAAGAATAGGAAGCTAAAAGAGGAAAAAGAAAGAAAGTAATGGCGAAGGAAAGAGGGATTCGAAAATTAAATAAATTAATGAATGGTGAAAAAGGAAGGTGGAGAAAGAAAGAAAGAAAGAAAGAAAGAAAGAAAGAAAGAAAGAAAGAAGGCAGTAATAGCGAAGGAAGGAAGGAAGGAAGGAAGGAAGGAAGGAAGGAAGGAAGGAAGGAAGGAAGGAATAAGCAAAGAAAAAAAGAAGAAACTAAGGAATTAAGGAATGTCGAAAGAAAGAAAGTAATAGCAGAAGAAAGAATGGGAGAAAGGATACAATGGAGAAGGAAAGAAAGAAATAATGAAAGGAATGGCGAAAGGAGAAATTAAGAAAGAAAGAAAGAAAGAAAGAAAGAAAGAAAGAAAGAAAGAAACGAAGAAAGAAAGAGAAATGAAAGAAAGAATCGGGAAAAGAAAGGCGGAAAGAATGAATGGATAAAGAAAGAAAGAAAGAAAAAAGAAAGAAGTAATGAGGAGAGGAGGAAGGAAAGAATGGAGAAAAAATGAAACAAAGAAAGAATGAAATGAAGGAGTGGCAAAAGAAATAAAGAAAGAATGGGAGAAGGGAAAAGAAGAAAGAATGAAATGATGGGAGAAAGAAAATAACAAAAGGAGGAAGGAAGGAAGGAAGGAAGGAAGGAAGAAAGAAAGAAAGAATGAAAGAAAGAAAGAAAGAAAGAAAGAAAGAAAGAAAGAAAGAGAGAAAGAGGATAATTAAATGATCATGGATGCAAAAACAGAAATGAGTCCGAGAGGGCGATACACAGCAGACAACCAGCTCTACAATTAGATACATTTTGTCAGTTGAACTAACAAATGTGAAACAAAAATTACGAAGACTTCACTAAATCGACGATTCTGAATGATAAAAGGTGGACACGAAATTACATAACCGTTCACTAGTCTTTTTTTCGAATGAAATCTTTTACAGTTTTATTTAATTCTTGGCTAAGCTTATGAAAGGAATATTTTGCCATCTCAATGGATTTTGCATTTCAGTGTCTGGTTGTTTTTGTCTTCTGTTAAAACAATTCCAATGTTCAAATTTTCCTACTTGCTTGATTTTAGTAATTCCAATTTGTAGCTTGCGTCTTAAGCTCTTCCTTTAGCTACACATTTTGCCTTCATTCATTTCTTCTCATTTTCTTTTACTACATTCTCTATGAGTTAATGCAGTTTCCGTCCTATGTGTGCTATCAACACGATGCCGTCTGCATATCTTATGTTGTTAAAATTCAATAAGAATACCCAGTAGGATTTCTCTGAGAACCGCATGTGGCTGAAAAGGTTGAATAAATCTGGTGAGCAGAACCATCCTTGATTTGGTTTCATTTGTTTTACTGCATATCAAGCCCTCAATGGCTTATTTAATGGCGACAAGATTTTTATTGCTGGTAATTTTTTTTTCAAAAAAGTATTTCTCTAAATATTTTTTCCAAAAATGTATTTCTGGGTATATATTTTCCAAAAATATATTGCTGGAGATTTTTTTTCAGAAATTTATTGCTGGTAATAATTTTTTACAAAAATGTATTGCTGGTATTAGAACCTGTTTTTACACTTTCATAGTTTCTTTGACCACAATTTGGGAGTTAACTATTTGCCCATAGCTGGACCCTAACAGGTGCTACTACCCGGATTCAGGGTGGACCTGGGAACATCAGCAATTAAGAGGTGGTTCCACTCTCCTCAAAATCCTCCTTGCTGCCGGATGTAGTTTATCGTCTTACCCATCCTTGTCTTACCAAACTATTTATTTTTGCATATTTATTAAATTCATTTTCTGTCTATAGGCGTTTTGTTCCCACTATTAATTAATCTCTGTGGATGATCCTAATATTTTTCCCAAATAAGTTTAGTTTACCAAGCAGTATGCAAAAGTTACATGACTTTTCTATCGATGGTTTTAAACGTAATATAATCTTGTTTCATTAGAAGAATCATGCCAACGAAAATGGCCTGCCAGTTGGCTGTTTTTAGCTCAATAAAAGAAAGAGTCCTTAAAAGTTAGGAATTCAATTTTCGACATAAAACCAACCCAAGCATAGCAACAACCTTCCGTTTGGACCATCTGTCAAAATGAAAAATGTATGACATATTTTCCCATGACAATTTCTCCCTAATTCTAGATGATAGGTGGGGTGAATTTGCGCTGTGTTCCGGTCAACACAGCGTCTGATTATAGCCCCTACGGACTGAATAACATGAGCCGATCATACGGAGGCAAACAGGTCAAGAGCAAAAGAAAAATGAGTTTTGTGTAAGAAAGGAAGGGAACGCAAAGAAATGAAGAGGATTCTGGCTAAGAGGAATAGCCCAAGATGCGAACTACGAATAGAAAATTCTAAAATAAAGAAAAAACTATAGGAGTAGTATTTTAACAGAGGACGGAATGCAAACAATGATATTCATGCCCACAAAAAAAATTAAAAAAATAAATAAAATAAAATAAATAAATAAAATACCCCCCCCCCAAAAAAAAACAGTGCATCAAAAGGGACGGTTTTTCCCATGACACCGCTTTTATTTTAACTAATCTTCGGCAAAGTTTATTGTTTTAAAAAGCGATAATAAAGTATTTTGTAATAAATCCTAAATATATGATAAAAGGGAGTTTATATATTTTCTTGAGAATTGACAATAAAAAATAACTGATATGTCAATAAAAAAATACTTCCTGGTTTTTTAGTCTTTGATCACGATGTCTGGACGATTAGCTTTGATTGTTCTATCTGTGTGCATTGCAAAGTCCCATAAAATGTCCTATGTAACCTGGTCTGGGTGATGTTCATACCAGTTTCTTTCACTT